TATATATATATATATATAGTACACTTTAATAACTTTATATATATATATATATATATATATATATATATATATATATATAGTAGTACATATTAAAAATATAGAAAATATAATTTATAAATTCGTTTAACTATTTGAACATTGTCAACATATGTACATATAAACATTTATTATATATATGATATTTATATATTTATATTTGATAAATATTTCTATATAATATTTGATACCATAATTAGTATTTCGACTACATAAGTTCATTGTTTCAAAATGTATTTCATGACATTGAACATTTATCGTACATAAATATGAGGGATGGATCGAACTAACTTTAAAATTCTCACCAAGCGAATAAATTTTCAAGGATTTTCGGTGAATGGTAAGAACGAAAGAACGAGACCAAGAAAGAACGTCAAGCCCGTGCTCATGTATATCCCGAGAGAAAGAGGGAGAGTGAGAGAGAGAGAGAGAGAGAGAGAGAGAGAGAGAGAAAGAGAGAAGGAAAGAGAGCTTAGATAGATAGCTCTCGTTGATACGAGTTTAAACGTTCTTCAATGGAAAAAGTATCGAATCCTTGGAAGAACGACGATAACGATAGGTAGATAAGACCTCATGGGATGCGATCGTAACGCAAAAGTAAAGAAATTTATTCGTTATATTCATATTTATTTTTATTTGTCAAAGAAAATTTGACAGTGATAGCTTTCAATACACTTCGAGGTATATTAGAGATTTAGATAAAGAAAAAAAAAATGAAAAAGAAAAAGTCCAAAATAAATATTGCTATGATGATAACGGTGAAAATAATTAGAAATTAAGATCAATTCTTTATAATATATAAATGAAGAGAGATAATGTCCTCAAAAAAAAATGAAAACACATATCAGCAATAATCGTTAATCACTTTAACATCTGCAATCTTCAACGTGTTCTACGATAAAAATGAAATTGTACGATAGTGGTTGAACATCATTGTAAGAGAAAAATTGGATTATCGTTCTCATCGAGAATCTCGAGTAGTCACGTACGTCGTTTTCGCGTTCGCGGCATATAACGATCCTCGTTATAACGTTTGTGATGCAAAAGGGAGGACTTGTACTTTGTCTTCCTTTCTCTCTCTCTCTCTCTCTCTCTCTCTCTCTCTCTCTCTCTCTCTTTCCTTCTCGTGCGTTCGGAAGCTCTAAAGTTTGTTGAGAATAAGAAATATTTATCGAAGAAAAGTCGGCACTTGTGGAAGCGATCGATAGATCGATATTTCCTTCTTCGAATAGCAATTTGTACGTCTTCCATGCGTAGAAGGTCTCGTCGTTGTCATAAATCTTAAAAGAAAGAACTTAGGAGGCATTCTTCGTATTCCCCAAAGATGTTCCTCATCGAGCCGTCATATTTTATAAACATTCTTTTAAGTGGATCTAAAAACACCATTAAGTGCTAAAAAGTTAAAATTATGTCCACACGACGAATGTGGGTCAGTGTTGTTATTTTTTCAGTCGAACGTGTTTTACGTATATATGTATGTATCTATATGTGATACATATTTAACATAGACAAATTTTTCTATTGCATTAAATCAAAATGAAAAATTGAACAAGTATAAAATTGTTATAACTTGAATAAGTCGTTCTAACATTACTTTTTATAATATTCACTGTTCTATATAAACACATAGAGTTTCTCTCTTTAATTCTTTCCAATTTTGTTTCCAAAAGATTTATTATCCAAACAATTATGGGGAATAATGATGTTATATTTCGTAATAAAACAAAATGTATGTCGTACGAAAAATATTTACTTGTACACACACGTTTATATACGTATAACATATACATAACAACCATTATTATGGACAAATTATCAGGATGTTAATTGGTCGAAAACGTAATTACGTTGATTGAAAATATATATCAATGAATGGGCCTGTTGAATGTTGTTTCGTTTATTACTCACTTCGTATAATAATGTGGTAACTTGCGTGATAGCAAATTTATCGAGAATTTCGCTTCGATTATACGTATGTATATATATACATATATATATAGACACGTATAGTTGATTTTCCAGTCTGTCAGTTAATAGTGTTCTAGGAGGGTTAGTAATACTCTCTTCTGTTCGTTCGACGTGTGTTCTCGCTAACACGACGGTGACAACGATGAAACGCTAGAGAACTACGATAGATTACGCCTCAAGATCGTTGCTTCGTTATGTATTTTCACATTTGCTATTAGTCTCTCTTTCTCTCTCTCTCTTTTTCTCTCTCTCTCTCTCTCTCTCTCTCTCTCTCTCTCTCTCTTTGTCAATATGTAAATGAAATATCAACAATAACAAATAGTTGTCTTTGTATAAATAATAATGTAATAACGAACAGTGTATTCTAATTTGAAAATTATCATAATTGATTTGTCAAGCTTACAGAGCTTCATTAGCAATTTATGTTATTCTTTATTTTAAAGAATTTTTTATTTTAATTACGACTTTACTTTAAACGTTTTTTTTCTTTTTTTTCTTTGAAAATATAAATATTCAAATTAGTAATAAACTAAATGTGTCGTTTTCATTAGAAATTTTTTATTATATGTATATTTTGATCGTAAACATAGCTCAATAAGTAATTTTCTCAAAAACAATCACTAAAACTTGGTCCTTCTATAAATTATATCAAAATTAAACGGAGATTACGAAAATCAAATGTTTTAGTCTATGCAAAGTTCTAATACATGTAGGATACCCACGTGTCTGCTCTAATAATACCTCATTACATAGCAACATCGTAGGAAACTCTGTTTACGTAAGTAATTATTAATCTCGGTTTAATTAAACTTTAGATTGATATTAGATTATTTAAAATACTAACGGTAGAACTATTATTGTTCCGTTCGAAAGTTTTCTACTTTTCGTTTAATCCGCAAATAACTCCAATAATCGTACTAATTAGATGGAAGCTTGAACTTTTTAGAAACATTAATGATTATTGGATAGCTTTTTGCTCATGTAAAATAGATTATATATAGTAATCTTTTAAATTAAAACTATCTAGATCGAATGATTTTATTGTATCGTTTATCTGTTAAGATCGCATATGTAAGTAGAAAAGAGAGGCAACTATATTGACCAAGTATTCGCATTGTTAAGAGTGATGCACCATAAATTCTTGATAAGTTTGACATAATACCGCACGAAAACCTTGTGCAAGCTTTCACGCAAGACGGCTATACACGCGATGTCGAACTTCCGTGGAACTTCTCTAACTTAGTTTCATGAAAAGGATTTAACCTATGTTGAGGTACTATCTGAATTTACGGTCATTAGTATTTAGCAAAATGAAAGTTAGAGAATGTCTACTATATATGCCGGACGCTCGAATAATGTGAAATTTTTTTCGTAAAGATATCTTCAATTGTAATACGATTTAGAATTTGGTAATTTTAGTATAAGATAAGATAATTTTTGTTAAATATCCGAGCGTGACTACAAAATGACTTATATTTTAAATGTAAAATTTAATGCTATTCGACGTCATCGAAAGTGATTTCAAAATATAAAAGATCATTCATGTTATGTTAAGTATAATTGATTTTCATATGAATCAATTTCTTCTTTGAATTCATTCGAATTCATTTCTCAATCGACAAAGAATCTTATTTCTGTAGATAAAATACTTTTATAGATGATAGTTAAATTACATTGTTACCTATGTATCGTATCTCTTTCTTTATTTTTCCCTATCCGTAGATATTATCCGAAATGTAAGATAAGTAATAGTTAAAATATTTTTAAGTTTTCGATATTTTAAAAACATTATCTTCTGTTGGTAAAAAAGTATAAAGTTTTACGATTTATCATGAGATACATAGGATACATGTTACCGATACAAATCCAGTAGATTTCAACATGGAAATATCTAATTTTACCAACGTTATCGACAGTAGGTATATTATTAACAATCGATAATATTATTAACAATCGCTAACATCATTTACTGTTTTCAATATTTTAGAAACATTTTTTCATTTTAACAACACCTAAACAATTTAGATTAAAATTATTGCTATTTTACTATACGTATAATTTTGTTAGTTTTGTTTTTTCTGATTTTAACAAGCTTTGGGATTATAAAAACAATATATAAAAATGAAACTACATGATGTCATTATTATTCGTAGCTCTTTATTTTATGAGATCGCGAGTGGATTTAAAAACAGTTTATTCATCCATTTAATATTTTCAAGATATCGGTAACTCCTTAAGAACGAAACTTATTGCGAAATATTTTTTTTATAACTTTCATATTTTTACATTTACATTTCATATCGTTTCGTACATACATACATATAACTTGAAAACGTTCGTTCGGTCGCAATTTTGAACGTTTTCTTACGGTACAATGAACATTTTATCTTATATACAAGTTCCTTACATATACATTTATACATATATATATATATGTATATATATATGTATATATTTATAATATCAATTAAATCATCTTCACGGAAATTTCAAATAATACTGTCATTTTTCACTCGAAGTACGTATCGATTTGTCAAGATCGTTTTTCCTTTTCAACGAATCTAACAATATAGTGAAAGCAGTTGTGTCCAAGTATTTATTCAACATTCATGTACACTCATTTATATTTAATTTTTCATATATCGAAACAATAATCTTAAAGTATGGTTATCATCGTCGTAAGAGAAAAATAATTTCAATGATTCAAATTATTCAAGATAGTCGAGATTTTCAATCAAGCCAGTGAAAGTGAAAGATGATGCAAATAAGTTTACTTTCTTTGAATGAATAATTATTGTTGATAGGAATATTTGATATGAGATTGTAGATACATTTAAATGATTTCCTCATATATTATATGAACAATTTTTTTTTCAATGATCACTGATTTACTCTCTATATAAAGAAAAAAAAAAGAAAAAAAAAGAAAAATATATATATATATATATATATATATATATATATATAATAAAGATTAACTTTTTCAATTTTCACACTTATAATAACGTTCTTTTATTCACTTGCTTGATCGAGAAAAATCTTCGTAGCTGTATGACCACAGTACGGTACTTCGTTTTCTAATATCATGAAGTACTTAGAAATGTTAAAGGAAAGAAAATTGCGCGAAAATGAACTGTAGAGTTTAAGCCGTAGCTCTTTTACGCGAATGAATGCAAGTACATGCTTTCATATGTGTAACGTCGTATAAACGAAGAAACACGATTTACAAGGAATTCATTGTCAAAGTACATAGTATTAGAAGGACAGTTATTAAGACGAAAAGTTCGCCATTTCCTTCGGAATAATCGGTGCACGCTGCGTTCCATTGATCGTGATGAACGGCTGCTTGTTTCTCACCTGAAATTAGATTAGATTGTATCAATATATTTTTTATTAAAATATATTTTTTATATAAGACTAACACGATTGTAAGGATTAATTTTAAAGAGTTTATCAAGAAAGATATGGATCTGAGATTTCGCAGAATGGTGTTTCAGACAAAGAGCATTGTTTATCAAACATTAATAACAAAAATGAACATGAGAGCCATTTGTCAATGCTTATCATCTCTATATTTTTCTCTCTATTATTAAAAAAAGAAAAAAATCAAAAATGAAAATAAATCTAATCTCAATATCACTTATCGCTAAATAATTATTTAATCGAAGATGATTATAAAAATAATAAAAAAGAAGTAACATTTTTGTTATTTACTTTTTTGATATAAGTTCTTGAACAAAGAAATATAATATATAGATTAGACATACGAGTTCCCGTATAATTCTCAAAGCATTCTCTCTCCTTACTCTCTTATTCGATTCTTTTACGAGGTCCATTAGAACGCGGCTCCCGACTAAATAGGTTGCAGTCGCTTCGGTTCGACTTCGTCTCTAACGTGAAATCTTTACTGTGGTATTAGTTCGCAAGAATATCTCTTAGTATGTTTAACGACTTCTACGAACTATAAAGTTTTGCGATGCAAATATCCGTATGCCACGCTTCTTCTGAAGTAATCTCTCCTCTATTTCTCTGCACGTCCAGAATGTCGTATGAATAAAAATTAATTAACGTAAAAACTAATTAAAATATTGGATTAATATTCGTTATTAGATAAAAAGTTAATAAAGAGGAAAAAAGGAAAGGAAAGAAAAACTCTAGTAAAAAAGAAAAAAAAAACCGAAAAAGAAACAGAAAATTTAATCAAATTTAATCAAATTTACCATTAAGAACGTGAATGTGAACAACTGTCGTGCTGAATTGTCCAACGGAACAGGCATACTCTCCACTGTCAGTCTTTTTAGCTCGTTCGATATGAAGCTTCGTTATCACCTCCTCGTTCGATCTGGAAAATCCATTGCACCGAATATTTCACTTGCATAAAGATGTAGCTATATATCGTCACGAATGCAAACGATATTCCCTTGTCGAAGTAATCGAGATGATTGTACGACTATTCTCGATCACTTTAAACGATAATACTATGAATTTGTGTATGTATGTCCGTGTCAGAGAAAATCTACAAGGTTGATTAATTCATATGTAATACAAGATAGACTTAATATTTCAGGTTAACTTTGAATATCTCCTGTTGAAACTTTTGTTATTTCAATTTACAGATGAATTCAATTTGACGTGCAATTATCGATAGGAATAATGCCATTTCTCGTATTCGTACTCGCATGTCGGAAAACTTGATGATGTGAAAATCATTAATATTAAAAAAAAAAAATATATGATGATATTATGAAAATAACATATTTTTAATGTAATCGATAGAGTATAATGTTTTCTGATTTGTACGGTTAATTATACTCACCCGTTAATATGATAAACGTCAACACGATCTGATAAACTCTCTCCACTTTTCCTCCATACCGGATGCGGTACTTTCGAGTCTGGACAAGACGGTCTTACGACGCACAAAAGTTCAATTCCACTTCCAGTTTTATAATAACGATCACGTAACTCGTGTCTGGCCTCATCGACAATTTTTATATCCGGGGCTGAAAAATATTGATAGAATATTTTGAGTTATTCTTGATACCTATCTATGTAACATTTCTCAAACTATTCGACAGAGGTATATATCTACATTGAATTTACAGTTTTATATGGCACAAAAATAAAATTTTAAGGGGACCATCGAACGATCGAGAACAATTTAATAGTTTCCATTAAAAATAGAATGATTTTATTCGAACATATCTCATTTGATATGGGTAATAGTATTCTAGTCATACAGTGGAATAGAACAGGTTATCGATAAAAAAAGGAAAAAGGAAAAATAAAAAAAAAAGAATGAAAAAAGTTATTATTGATATTTTGCTGATAATAAAAAGATTTATTCTTTCCAGATTACAATTTATAATAAATGAATTGTCAAGTTGATGTATTGATTTATAAAGTAGAAAAAAAACTTTTTAGGTAATATATAGGTTATGTACATACACGTTTTCTAGGATCAATTTATTCTGATTTTTCAAATATTTAGTTTGGTATCGATCGAACGAAAGTAATACGATCAAAAGATCAGTATTATTGTATCTTAATTGAACTTAGAGTTTCGCCGATGTCGAGCCGAAGAAAGAATGATTGATATTGTGTATGCGAGAGGCTAAAGGGATTTCCTTCGACGTATCTTCAAGGTCTTTTCGCGACAAACGATCTCATGGCTCCTCTTTTCCTCCAGCTTCTTTCGCTTACGACTCCAAATCGATGAAAAATGAGTGATCGATCGACTTCATGTACCTTTATATATGTATGCATGTACACGAGTATATTCGATGGTATCCTCTTTTCTTCCTTCAACGTCTTTCTTCAAAATTTCCTTCCTATTTTATCAGAAACGTTCTATAAAGCTTTATAAATCCTCTACCTTTCTTTTCTTTTTTTCGCAACGTATTAAAAAGTCGTTCGTAGAAAATTCTATACAACTACGATGAGAGAGCCAATACAAAAGAGATTTATTTAACATCGCTTTTTTTTTTCTTTCTTTTTATTTCTTTTTTTTTTTTTTTTTTTTTTTTTAACATCGTATCAATTTATCGGTTCTGTTGCCTCTTAAGTACGATTAAAAGGATCGTTTTTATAATTTAAAGAAAGTCCTGATTCGTCCGATTATGTAAGTAATCAGCTATTTCTCTCTGTCCATACACTTTGAACGAAGATCGAAAGGAAGGAAACGGTAGAAAGAATGCTATAAAATACTAAACAGGGATTCGAGTGAATTTAAAGTTCTTTTTCGTTTTAAAAAAGTAGTAGAAAAAGTTTCTCGTCACTTAAACGGATTAAACGCAGGTAAGTTTCTCGCATTCTACTTGACGATGCAAAAAAAGTGAAAAGAAGAACGGTGGTGGGAGGGGGGGGAGGGTTGAATGTAATGTCTAGGAAAGTGTTCAGACCGATGACCAACGAACGAGAAAACTTTTTGGAGATAAATCAAAGGAAAAGTTATCGTTTCCGCCCGACCTTTTTTCCCATTGGAATGTCTAAACTCGTATTTACGAACTTGTAATACGGAATGCGACGTGTTCCAAGTATCTTCGATGATTCTCAGATCGGATCGAAGAGTCGAGATATCCGGCTTGTAATATGGTTGAATAGAGGTTTTTCAAAAGAAGCTTTTATTTGAGTATCGTTCCTTCGAAAAATAAAGAAAAGGAAAAAGAGATAGAGAATACGCTTTACCTACTTCTCCTATGTACGTGTGTGTATATATATATATATATATATATATATATATATATACACATCGTAGTATAGATAATAAAACAGTAATGCCAACACGTGGTTTGAAAAAGATTGACGAGGACAAGAAGATATTATTATTCGCTACAAAAGGATCCGATATAACGACGTTCATGGTACCATCCTCTCGCGATATTGTTTTTCGTTATTAAAAAAGAGATTGAACACGAGAATTTCGATTAAAACGTAAAACAATTTTTAATGATCATTTATGAACGAAAAAAAGGGAGAAAAAAGATGAAAGAAAAAAAAAAGAAAAGAAAAGAAAAGAAAAGAAAAGAAATATTTACAAAGTGTCGGTGAGCTAAAGTGCAACGTTGACGAAAAAAGGTTTAAAAAGGCGTTGTTCGATATATATATATATATATATATATATATATATATATATATATATTCTCAATGTTAAACATTCCATTTTAAGAAAGTACGACAGGTACATGTATATGCCATCAACTTAATCGACTCTGAAGTGATTTCAAATCCGAGTACCGATTGGTTTGAATAAATAAATCAAGGTTTTGCAAGGAACGATCCTAGGGAAAATCTATTCCCGTTTCATTGGTAAGAAGAGAATAATACCTTTCTCTCGTCGTTACGCTTCTTCTTTTGTCTTTTAAGAATCTATTCCCTTTTCCTAATTGCATCATTAAGATTTATCACCATCGGAAGTGGGTATAATGAATATGAAATTAAATGATTCTTCTGTTTCAAATATTCTTCTGTTTGAAATTCGAAGATAGAATGAAAGAACGAAGGAACGAAGGAACGTACAAACGAAGGAACGAACGAAGTTTCAAGAAAAAGGTTTCTTTATATCGACTGTATTATCTACGTAAGTACTTACGTTCCTTTTGGATTTGAAAATCGATTTGTTAAAACGTCTCGAGAGTTCGATATCGTAAAAGCAAGAGAATAATAGCAAAAGCGTATCTCATGTACTCCGAGCAAGAATCGGAAGTGAATGGCAAATTCTTGAATAAATACGGCCGATTGTAAAGTCAACTCCGAACAATGTTCACGGTCGAAAAGCGATATGTGTTCGTCCTCGATCACATTCATCGATCTTTATTCTAAGAAAGTCAAGCCGGAGGAATGTAAAAGCAAAGACATTATTTGTGTCTAAGATGGAATTTATTACGTTGAAAAACGTAACGACTTATAGTTTTAATTTATATCAAAGAAATGGACCTCTCATCGGAGGTTGTTACATCTTCTCGACGTATCTTTCTAGAAAATTTTATCTCATTAATATTTTTTTTTAAAGATAAGTTATGGAATTTACATCTGAACGAGTTAACTCGAACCTTAAACAAATTTCGACCTACTTATATATATATATATGTGTCATTGTTCGTGTTTCTTTGATATCGAGTTTCCTCGTAATTAAATACAGACAGATAAGTCAAAGTATCGTTAGTATAATCAAAGTTACAGTATTACCAAGAACGGTGACGTTCGTGACCAGCATTCTAGGTGGATGTGTATTCACTTGACAGATGTACAAGCCACGGTCTTCTCTTCGTACACCAGCAATCGCTAGTCTCCAGTTATTTGGATACTGGAAACTGACGCTGTACCTTGTGTCGGAAATGTGAGTCATGTTGCCCAGAGTTAGAAGGGAGCCCCAGTCGTCGTTTCGACGTACCCACATGACCTGCGATCGAAATATAATATCGTTTTACATACGGACCTGAGTTAGACATAGAATATCCGACGGAACTTTCCATAAAACTTTACTCCTCGATTAAACTGATCGATAACATTCTACAAATTTAATATTTCACTGATTCAATTATAGATCTCTACAATTTTCTTTTATTCTCATTAAAATAACAATAACGATAAGTTTTAAATCAATAATGATTTCTTTTTAATTGATTTTAATTAAAAAATAAATAAAATGTAATTAAAAACGTACTGAACATATTTCTTTTCTTCTTTTTTTTTTCTTTTTACCTTCAATTGCTTATCTATTAATTATAAGAAAGTAACTTTTAAATACTCACTTTTCTTCCGGCAAGCATAGCAACGCGACAATCTAACAAAGCTGTAGCTCCCAAATGCAATGCCACGTTTTGTGATCCATTGATTCCTTGTCCTTCCGCATTTTCGAAATAAGGATCCCAATCAGTTACACGGTGATGCCTCAATCGAGGTATCCTTAGTGGTGGCAATATAGCAGAAATTTCTTCTGAAATGATATATAATTATTTCAACTGTTTTCTGAAATATGAAATAAAATAAGAAATTATTTAATTCGAACCGTGTAATATTGAGACGAACTATTTCATTATTAATATCACATTTTTATTGATTGATTTATTTACAAAATTCAGAATTTATTTATAAAATTCCGAAGAAAAAAAAAGAATTTTCAATCACAGCCAATTTCCTTTGAATGGAACCGTTAGGTATTTCTCGTAAGATTAAGATGTACTATAGTTCTCTCTTACTCGTTCGCTTACCCTTTCTCTTTCTCTATCTCTCTTTCTCTCTTTCTCTCTCTCTCTTTCTCTTCCACTTGTAATGTTCCGAACAATAAGGGATAACGGGACCATCTACTGTCTCAGTACACGAGTAAAGCCTCGATCTAATTTCTCGGAGAGCACAATTTCAGTAAGATTTTCACATAAGCCATAGACATACGTCTTGCGTGGAAATGTTATACGCGTAGGCTTTCTTCTTCAGAAAAATACTCTGTACACATACATGCATTCACATGTATTATACACGTATATATATATATACAAATCTTTACGAATAGAAATTCGAATTTCGTTTCGTTAAATATCAATTTCAAGTTCTTAATTCTATAAGCCAAACAGATTGAATATTTCCACCCACACATATATATATATATATATATATATATATATATATATATATACATATACGAATAAAAGTCGGTTTATTTTTAAATATAACTAGCCAAAGAAACAAAACATATTACATTTAGATGAAAATACGAAAGGAGCTTAAAAGTGATTATCATGATCATTTAGATTCAATCGATAGAGATTAACGTAAGTCATTAACGTGAGAAAGAGAAAGAGAGAGAGAGAGAGAAAGAAAGAAAGAAAGAAAGAGAGAGAGAGAGAGAGAGAGAGAGAAAGAGCACACAAAGAGGGTATATTCCTTCTATGAGAGCAGGTGCAGCCTCTTCCGAGTCAACGCGGAGCAATATCCGTCTGAGAGCGGTACGGGGGTTGAAAAAAGTCGAACTCTTGGAACGCTGGAGATTGTTCGTGAAGAGCCGAGAGAGATACTCGACTTGGTAGGTGGGAGTAAAAGAGGCAGGTTGCGAATTGAAAAGGACATAGAAAACGTGAGTGTAAAAGGTTGAAACGAAAAACGATAGAGAGAGAGAGAGAGAGAGAGAGAGAGAGAGAGAGAGAGAGAGAGAGAAAGAAAGAAAGACAAAGTTCTTTTCGATTAACTACCAAATTGAGCTTATATACATATATATCTATTAATTATTAAACGTCTATGTAATATTCGAACTTAGAAGAGGATTTATTTCACTCATTTTTGGCAAATGCGGGATGAGTTCAAAGAGTGGAAAAAGTTAAGTGGACTTCTCAAATACGGGAACCAGCTCGAGTGAAGAAAAACAAGCGTGGAAAAGCGATTCTATCTGTCTCTCTCTCTCTCTCTCTCTCTTTCTCTCTCTCTCTCTCTCTCTCCTCTCTTTTTCTTTCTTTCATTCATTCTACTCTCAACTTGTTCGCGAAAAGTCTTTTTAAGAAGACCTAACATTGCAAGGTCGCTATTAAAAAATTATACAATTTCTTAAGAAAGAAAAGGGAAATTTAGTTTTTATTCTAGTATTAAAATATCACGCTTGTTAGGTGTTCATCTTTTAGACGACTTTTTTCATTGACCATTTTCTTTTTTTTTTCTCTTTTTTTTTTCTTTTTTACTTTCGAACGTTTACGAAGCTACAAAGTGTCATTTCATAGTGTGTCGATTGATTTATAAAGGTTCTTCTCACGAGAGATCGATCACTTTTCGGAAGTTAGTTTTTGATTTCGTTCATAGTTTGCTATATTTTTATTATAAATGAGTCATTCGAAAATACCAATCTTCAGAATGAATGATCAATGAAAATTGTTAGATACGATTCATTGATAGCCGTATCATAAATATTTATTCATAATGCGAAGCCCGCGTAACAATGAAAATTGAAGGTAACAATTTGTATGTCAATCGATGTTATCACAAAACGAACGATTATCATTTTAATAATTTTTGATATTTATTGAACTCAATTGAATTAATGTTATTATAAACTAAATATATACATATATATAGATATAATATAATGAAATTATATATAAATTAATGTTGAATGAGCTAAAAAATAGAATTCCGAAAAGTATCGAAGTGATTTCTCATCGAATGATCCCTCATAGAAACCTGAATAAGCAATAATCATTGACCCGATTTTAAGAATGCACAATCGGTAAAGGAAGTACAATATATATGAAGCGAACGTAGGTAAGTCGATAGCACGTAATATGGCTAGAGTTTCAGGTGCCAAGAGTTTCTCTTCAATTTCTTACGTATGTCAAAAAGTCACCGATATGAGAATCTTCCGGATCCGTGAACGAAGTAACATGGCAAACAAGTAAAGGCCTCCTAACGTTCTCTCGGTACCATCGAGGTCAATCCTTCGTTTTCTTCCTCCTCTATGGCATCTCAAGATACCTAATATCTTTGAAATATATAGAAGGTATTGCGATACATGCTCGCTAAGTCAAATGGAATACAGTAATATCCCGAGATAAAATAAAACTACGTAATATGCCGTAGAAATTGAAGAGAGGATTTTACAAAATTTTCAACGGTACTTTTCGTTTTGCAGGGTATTGCGAACGGACGACTAAAGTGAAATGTAACGATTATTGAAACGTCATTTGCGGTGCGTATGTGAAAAATTGTATGAAAAAGTATTCGATATTATAAGTGCTCGACATGGAACAAGAATATTAATTAATTAGTTTCTGTGATCTTATCGCTTTCATTTTTCTTTTTTTTTGTATTTTTTTTCTTTTCTTTTTTTCTTTTCGTTCATTCCCCCTTTCATTTTGAAAAAACTACGTTCTTTTTTTTTTAACGATTATATCATATTTGCATTTCTCTCCAAATGAAGTTCACTGAAAACGAGCGGCTTACGAAGAGATATTTCAATTTAGAGACGGAGATAAAACTCACGGCTTTTCTGTGGAGATATGAATATTAACGAAAACGTATAAGAATATTTTTCCGGTTAATATATAGAAAAGTGTGTCTTAGACGCTTCATTAAGTTACATTGCTTCTTTCATCCATTGAACTTTGAATCGATCGTTACTGAGAAGATTTTCGCTCGAACGATCGATTTCTCATCGTCGACGAGACGAAGAAAATGACTTATCCTTCGGTGATTCGATTTTATTGCAGTACACTTGGTTCACTGGATAAGAAACTAAACGTCTTTGACGAAGTATATGTCTTGCCTCCGGCCGAGTTTACCCTATCACCTTGGAATCCTCTCGACCTACGGAAGAGAATACAGTAAGTAGACGCTTTCTAGTTTAACCAACCACCAAATTCAATAGATGTGGACGTAGAGATCGTTTGAGTTGTGTCTATCGAACTGTTGACAACATCTGAGTCAACAATAATTAGGCCATTTAATTTTTAATGATATATAAGACGCTTTATGTGATCGATCGATCATGAAATGAAAGATAAGTATTAAGGTCAAAAGATTTTCAATTTCATATATCTCATATGTATTATATATGATATATATATAGCCTCATTTGGACATTTTCTTTTCTCCTTTTCTCTTTCTTTGTCTCTCTCTCTCTCTCTCTCTCTCTCTCTCTCTCTCTCTCTCTACATATATATATATATATATATATATATATATATATATATCTTAGTCTATTTCATAATACATTAGGAACTCTCACTCATTTTAATTACTCCTCACGAGACGCGTGCCACCTTTATTCGAGCAATTTCCAAAGACGAGTAGAATCCTAGAAGCGTTCATGTATAATTTTAGTGACACTAAAACGCCACGCGTTACATTATAATCCTGGCCGTAAATCCGAATTGGCACCTGGCACTTTCTCGTGTCGCCATTCGATTTTAGAAACAACGGCTAACTCTCATGTTCGATTTTCACAGCATCACGAGTTTCCTGATTGCTTTTCAATCGTGCTTCCGTAACTATTAGGAATATCTAAAATCATGACAAGGACACGACAATTCTCGATAGATTTTTATCGAGTTCACGATCAAACTTTACCTTTCAACTTTACTAATCTAATCATAATTCCATTAACGCAAACATCATTATATCTATGTGTAATAATTTATACAATAAGAAATGTGTAGTTTCAGAGGAATAATATAGTATAGTTAAAAAAGAAAGGAGAAGTGAAATAAGAAGAATAGCAAGTTACATTTGAGGGAAAATACGTTAGAATCTTGCGTAATTGCAATGATGTTCTTTGTGTATCCGGTTTTTTCTTTGGAGAGCGTTGCTAGGGCTGTGACTATACTCGTTTTAACTTTTGCAAGAGAAAAAAGCAAAAAAGAAAAGAGATAGTATGAACGACATTGGTCAAAGCCAAGAGGTAAATCTACAAATGACCAACATAATAATAAGCAAAATAGTGTAGAGGACGGAAAAAACTGTCAAGTTGTATGCCTTTTTTTCACGTATATGTGTTCACGCGAAAGGGCGTTAATTAAGCTCCACGCGTCCATTAGACATTCGACAACTTCTATATGGTGATGAGAGTGGGAGAGAAAAAGGTCAGTTATTGCACGTGCCTTTCATTAGTACTAATGGGGAGGGGAGAGGTTAGAACTTTCCTTTGAAAATCTCCCGCCATTTTCTCTCTCTCTTTCTCTCTCTCTCACATACACACATATACATACATATATATATATATATATATATATATATATATATATATATACATCGTATGTACAGTCATCTTTTTATCCTTTTCCTCCTCTCCCACTTTCTCTCTCTCTCTCTCTCTCTCTCTCTCTTTTTTTCGCTCGTCGCTCCCAGTTCGAGATTAAAGTACTTGACCCAAAGTGCTCTATTATCGACGTCCGTTCTCTGCTAGCGATTCTTTCAACGATGGACCTTCGAGCCTCGATCCGCATCGTCGACCATATAACT